ATTTCTCTGCAGGACGGACATCCCAGCTGCCTCTGCCACTAGCAGCACAAACTCAAGTTATATGGGTTTTTTCAACAGACTGTGAAACATCAGTTTAATGACTTTTGGCGACCAGAGTGGGAAGATAGCATTTCTGGAGGGCAGATGAGTAAAGTCCAACAAAGAAGCAATGCTTTTTAAGTTAACTATTCGAATAAATTTAAGACACATTTTGAAATTATTAATACTAGTTTAAGATCTCTCCCTTCTACCTGGACTTTGATAAAGTAAAAGCAGCCAGATTCTGTTCTCTAGAGAGCAAAGCTGTGGTGGGAAAGTGCTGTACAGCTCTCAACTACAAGCCTGTGTCCACACCATTGCCTTTTAAACAAGGTATTAAGTGTTTCAAACTGCATGGATGGATTTGGGTCAGGCAAGTGAGATGAGAGAAATAATGTTTTTTAATCACACCCAAAATGTCTCCACCTGGTTACATATGAGACCATAAAAACATCACCAATTACAAGAGCATTTCTCCCCAGGAACCCCGTTACAGAAAGGAAGTAGAAATCCACAAAGGTACCCATTACTCTTAATACCTTCATTACCATCTAATTTTTTAGACCACATTATGAACTCCACCATTAAATGCAAGTACTGCAGACCAGTTTCAATTAAGATTATAATCACTTGTTGACATTCAGTCAAACTTCTCAATTTTTTTGGTTTTAAAAACTCAATATAATACTTGTATAGTCTTCAGGCAGGAACACCATATGTTTCCCCTCAAAGTACAGTTTTAACAATGCATGTTATTCATTGACTGAACCAACCTGCCTGAAAAAAAAAGACAAAATTGAAACCTTCAGCTTTTACGTTCGTAACTGATGTTATCATAAGTGATTAGAAGATTACATTACTCCAAATGTCACATTCATTTGCCTTAATTCAAAGTGCCAATATGAAAACTTTAGTCCATCTAATTAACCTCTTCCCATTTCCCATTTAAAACTAATTATCTTTAATGAGCCATTAAACAACTCTGAACGCAACAAAAAGAGGAATGGCTGTAAAATAGTAAATCAGATGAGAAGGAAATATATCAGTTTATTTCCTTGTAAAAGCAATCACCTCTTCAATTGCAGAAGCAGTAACTTTGCTTTCAGCCTTTGACCTTCCTGTGTACGGAGAAGTGACACTTCCCCTCCCCTACAGCAGACAAGGTTCACTCTCTACGTAGAGGAACACTGTTTTGGAGGGCTGGGCAACTTTTTCCATTAGCTATTTAGAAATGGTCTTTGTATTCAGGGCCCTCAACAGATAAAAAAACCAATAATTACAGATTAACAACATACTTGGTAAAACACCAAAAGTTACCTGGCAAGCTGTATGACAGAGAGACAGTTCTCTTGTCAGAAAATTTTCAGTCAGGCGAGTTTTAAATTATTTATTTTTTTAACACTGTCACCTAACCAGTTGGTGAACTAAAATGATTCATATTATCAATTAAGTAAAAATCAGCAGTAAAGTAAGTTTTTAGTTCCTTCATTGTCTTTCATCTCCTGACTCTCCCTTTTTTAAAGTTCATGCTGAATCCAGACTTTTTTCCTTTTCTCCCAATACCTTCTTCAGAGGGAGCAGACAAGTCTTCCTGACTCTCAATGACCAAAATTTGCATGTTGTTGTTTTATCAAAAGACAGGATACCTCGGCAGGCACTCAGTCTGTGCCTCTCCCCAGGAAACACACGCCTGGGCTCTTCGCCTAACCCAACCTGGGGCACAAGACTTTGGGCAAGGAACTCAAAACAAACACAACAAAGGAAAACCTCCTGAAGTCCCATGGTGCAGCATTGCTACCACTGAACTGTGTGACCTGGCTGGCTACTGTTTTCCAAGCTCATTTCTCTTGCAGTAGCTTTCTTTGAAGTCCTTCTTCTTTGGATGGGCAATCCAAGGTCTTAAGGGAGAAGCAGGTATCACTCATGTCACAATTTAACTAATGGAAAACTTTCCAAATACTGAAAGCAGAGATAAGATTAGTAACTTTCCCAGACACACTGGGAGAGTAAAAAGCAAATAGAGTAAGCCACCCAGCCAAACTACTTCAAAAGGAGATCAAGACTAGCAGGGGCTGGAAACCAGGGATCCTTCTATTAAGTACCCACTTATCAGACTGCAAAAAAGTTGTTACCTTTTCCTAAAGCCACATTTAAAAAAAACAAATCACACTCATCACCATACTGAGTGACCAGGAAGACCAAGTTAGAGATTTGAAAGTCAACAGGGCTAGAAGTTAACTAAATGGAAGTCCTACCACTACAGAAGAAATGGTTTACTTTGAAGGAGAACAAGGAAAAAAGGTGTCTCTGAATATATTAAAAGTCAATCAACACAGAGCACTTAAGAGGTGCATTCTCCTTTCTGTCATGGAAAACAACAGGTACCAGACCAGGAGTAAAAATCTGGGTTTTACACTATCACAGTCCTTGCAGCTTCATGCAGACTGGTATAAGACACAGCTGCCGAAATGTCTAAAAAGCAAGCAAATCTCAATTTAAGTGAGGTCCTGGATATTTGCCATTTCCCTTAAAGAAGGCAAATGATATGCTGAGCACCTACATCTCAAGAAGGAATATCTAGTTATGCATCTTAATTATAAGAACTTGTATTTGCCTTAATGCCATTTCCCACAAAGAGGTGGAAGTGTTCATCTGTTCTCACAGGGAGAATATAAAAACTAAGTTATTTTTAAATAACTGTATAGTTTAACGGAAGCTGTGAAACACACTGACTTCAAAACTAATTCCACAGAAATAGCTTGCCACAAAAATCTACTTAGCTAATGCAGAAAGGCATAAACCAAGAATAAAGGAGATGCTTTCAGGAAGCACAGCCCTTGGAATTTGCTGAGGCTCTGCAATCTCCAGCAGCAGAGTTTGTTTTGTCTCAAAGAAAGAGATCTACCTGGACAAATAATATCACTTTAAAAAATATATAAACAAAATTCACATGAAAGTGTGAAAATGGTAACAAATCTTTCCATTTTGAGAAGAAAGAGGGAGCAACACCATCACCTGCATTTTGAAAACAGTTTCTTCAGCACTAGTGAAACTAACATGTTAAAAGTTTAGGGACTCAGCTCCTGTTCTGTAACAAATAAAGTGGCTGTAATTGCATCCATCTCATGTCTCTTATTCACCCAGATGCATGCAATTCCTCAATTCAAACTGAAATTAAATCCTAGTTAGCAGTAACTGCAGAACCCCAGCTCACATAAATGTAATGCAACTATTATTAAGTGGTCTTCCTTTTATATTACTATAAACTGAGTTGTATTCTTCAGCTACAAAATATCCTATTACCCACAGACAAATTGCTGTGAAGCCCACCTACAGCTACAGGCTCAACAGGAAGCACATTTAATAGCCAGCAATTATATTTATGCAAGAAATTTTGCCTTCTCAGCAAAAGGAATAAAGAACCTATTTTATTAGGGATGCAACAAACCCACACTTTCAATAGTTCCGTGACAAACATGTAATTGGTCTTGGTATTTGCTGACCACAGAATAAAATAAATCTCAATGAAAGAAAGCAACCTGTGCAGCAAAATACAGCTTTGCCACTATGAAAGAACCACCAGGAGAGACCAGCAAGACTGAGTCTAAAGTAATGTAAGGTTGACTGAGAAAGGAGATGCAGTCAGCATGTTCTGGGGCTGCATAAAGATGCCCCCAGAGTATATTTCACATCACAGTTAGACACCAATGATTCCGTTTTTCTTCTTTTTTCCTTCAGAAATACCGTGAAAAGAAAAATTACAATACTTAAATGATGTGGTCTTGAATATCAATATACTGTAAAAGTACATTTTCAACATCTGTGCAAGTGCCAAAGAGCCCCAATATTTGAAAAATATAATGTATGTCTACTTTGGATTTTATTCTTCAAGTTTAGCAAAAATAGACTAAATGTATCCCAGTAGGTCTGCAGCCAGTGTGACAGGTTTGTCCCTTCACCAGTTAAACAAGCTAAGAAGCCTTTTACCGAGTAAGTAGAAGACTTATGTGAATAGTATAACAATTTGAGCTCTCCAGAGCCTTCATAAAATGCAACTGCTTTGTTTCAGGCTTTATCTGTACAGCAGATCATTCCCAGGACAAGGCCCAGAGGTTAAAACTGTTAACATAAAAAAGAGAGAGACAAAACTCCTAATAAAGTCTAATTTTGAAATCCCTACTTCAGCTGAGTAACATGATCCTACATAATGGGAGTCATCTGTGACTGCTTGGGAAGTAAGGGTAAGTTAGAAGAGAGCTTTATTCACTACTCAAAATTGCAAGTTGTCTTCGTGGTACCAAGCATGTTTACCATACTTGTATCAATAATCTTGTTAACACACCAAGATTGAAAGCAGTAAGTTCTCCAGTGAAACTTCAAGCTAGTATGAAGAAAGGAAAGAGAGTCCTGGTTTCAGTTAATTAAACCTAACCCTTAAAGCATCTACAACGAGCATGGGGCGATCAGATCAAGCAAAGTACTTCAAATATTAGTGGAGAAGTAAATTTTGACCACATCACACAAGTCACAAGACTTCTTTATTTTCTTGTGATCTCAAACAAGCCTGACCATTACTTTAGACTGCAATGCACAACTTCTTTCACATACAAGCTGCACACATAACCTCATATATAAGGATATAAATTTATCCAACCCATGTCTAAGAAATAACCGAGCAGTTGTTGACACCATATTAAAGCAGCTTCTTTCAAGAACATGTTTTTCCACCTAGCTCCAAATGAAGAACTTCAGGACACAGCTACACAACACCAAAATGGAGATTAGATGCCAAGTTTTCATGGGAAGAGATCCTCCAACGTAGCTTGATAACCACATAACAAATCACAAACCAGCTCAACCCTCTCATCAATTGTACCTGAACATTTTTAGGCACAGAAGGAGGGAGACTCCGTTTGGAACAGCACAACCACACACTCTAAGAGTGAGCTCTCATCACCCACCTTGTCTCAATGAGGTAAGCAGTGTATGTTTCTTGCATGTTCATGGCAGTCTTCCCAGTCCGTTTTTCAGCTTCCGAAACAGTGATTTCCATTTTTTTTGCCAAACAGTCTTCCATCTTTTTAGAGAAGGAAAATAGAGATCCATGTAACATTAGCCACACAAGGCAAAAGCTCCTAACCATGCCTCCCTTCCTCTTGCACCACATTCATTCCAATAAGACAGGTCTCTGTAGGATAAAGGTCTTGGCAGGGCTTCTTTTTATACCTATGTTCTGTATCACATTTGCAAACAAAACCAGAAAACCTGCTTTGGGGGAAAAGTACAAATACACCATTTCCGATATCCAAACCTATAATCAGCCAGAAAGATACAGAAAGGACAAACATTTTTCCTTACAGGTAACAAATTAAGCTTTTTTTTCAAAGCAAACAAACCAACCCCTGTACTTCCTACCCAAACACTTCCCAACTACCGGCGAATTCCTCCTCAGGACACCTGGGACACACAGAACCACCTCCCCCCCTTTGACAGGAAACCGAATACATCCGGCCCGAGACGTTTTTCTTTTAATCTCTCCGAGGAGGATCGTTCTCTTTGACACATGGGCGGGCAGGAGTCAGCCAGGGCCACACGCCCGCCCTAGAAAGGCAGAGCTCTAGGAACCCCCGTCTACACGCAGCGGGGAGGGGGATTCACTCGTGAAACTGGGGGACACAACGAATGGCGAAGAATAATCGTCTAGCAGAGGGGATTAAGACAGCACACAAAAAGCCCTCCAACAGCGGCCAGAGAAGCACCGACGGGAGGAGAACCCCAGCGCTGGGCAGGACGGGCTGCAGAGCTCCGAGCTATCCCGGCCAGGGGCTGCGGGCAGGCAAGAGAGAAGCCTGGTCCCACCTGTAGCCCGTTCCCG